ACAGGAATGATTATTTAAAATGCTACACAGATGAAGAAATTTTGTTTTCATTGGACTCCGCCTCATTCAACACTCAAACTGCATAGTGCTCAGTGAATGACGACCCGGAAATGTGGGCGGGTCTCAGAGCTCACACTCCAGCCCAAGCCCAGAAATCTACACAGCAATGAAACTGCCCCATAGCCTGAGCCCCATGAGCCCAATTCGGCTGGCATGGGCCAGCCGGGATGTTTTCTCTGCTATGTAGACATATCTTGTATGCCATTCAACTATGCAATGAAATAGGCAGGGTTCCTAAGGGTGCCTGTATCATTTACTACACTATACTGTCATTTACTACATGCTGTATTTCCAACTTCTGCAGTGGGGCTTGAAGTCCAGCCCCAATCCAACAAAGCACTTAAGCACATGCTTAATTTTAAGTGTGGGAAAAGTCTCACTGACTTCCTCTGGTCCCCAGCCATACTCACTACACAATTTAGCCTCAGTCGCCACCCAGCCTGTGCAATGAACAAAGACGGGGTTCTGCAGAAAAACATTTAGATAATCATTAAGGTTAAGATTCTGTCACGGGTATTTTAATAAAAGTCAAGGGAAGGTCGCAGGAAATAAACAACAATTCACAGACGCCTGAGACCTGTCCCTGACTTTTACTAAAAAAAATCCTGGTGTGTGGGGAACTAACAGTTGGAGCACTGCCAGGGGCTGAGCTTCGGAGCTGCTCCAGCATCACGACTGCCACTGCTCCAGCCACGGAGGGCTGACCCAGCCCCAGCCGCTGCTTCAGCCCTGGGGCTGCTGCTCCAGAATCCCTGGGGCTGACTGCCGGCCCCTGCTCTGGCATCCCCAGGGCTGCCCCTGCAGAAGCAGTTGTGGAGGTCCTGGAAAGTCACGGAATCTCTGACCTCCATGACAGAATCGTACCCTTAATAATCATATAATTAAAAAGGTGTTCTGGGCCCCAGTTGAGCAAAGCACTTAAGCCTGTGTCATATTTAATGTATAAGTGACAGGGGACAGATCTAAATTTGCTCAGGTACATAAAGGTTGATCACATATAGCAAGAGTTCTTCAAGATGGTCTCTACAAATTCCCACTTTTCGGATGTGCTGACGGTGCTTGGTGCACCCTACGCACGGGAATGTGCAGAGACTGCTTGAAGAACCATAACGTTAGCATTTCTAGACTTTTGAGGCCTTCATTATGAAACTCTGAAGTTCTTGTAATACAGTTCTTTGCAAGGAACTTCTCAGGTTTCTAAAAGCAAAAAATAAATTAAAAACAATTATCATTTAGAGCTATTTGCTAGACAACATTAGAACATGGCGTCCTGAATAAATTTTTTTACTCAATAAACCAGGGCTATAAATGAATGTTTCTGAAGTATGTCTTATGTCTATTTCTTTCTAGTCAAGTCTCATTTAATTTCATCACGAAGGTTAGTTATATTCATTTAAATTCATCATCACATTCCTTTATAAACCCATTCTGATTTTGATCAATCTGTATCTATAAAAGTGCTCTTATTTTGTTTCTCGTAAATTTCCTGGTAAAGAGTCAGACTTGAACTTTTAAACTTCTCAATATTTTCCTTGATCCTTTTAAAATATTGGTATCATGTTCAGTTCTCTTTAGTCCCTCATCCTATTTCCAGTGATGATTTCCAAATTCTTAATGCTACTTTTTAATTCGCTTGATATCTTCCTGTAAAATATACTACAGTATTCATTTTCCTACTGACACATTCTTCCATCCTTGGCACATCCAACCCATCAAAGGTCTCAACTCATAGTGCGTCACCTGAATGGTACCTCCTTTCATGATCTATCCAGTCTAGCTTCCAGTTTCTCTCAGCAATCTCATCTGCTGTTCAAGCCCTTCCACTTTGAGGAACTTGGACCTTCATAGTTGCCTTTCAAAAATGGAGCCTTGAGATCCTTTATGAGACATTTTATAAACCAGGTAATGCTGATTTTCTTTGGAGATGTCACTTTTCTTGTACGGAGTTTGTCTGAGCCTAAGTACTCTTCTACATCTCCTTCTCTGAATATACTATTTAATTGTATTTTATTTATTGCTCAATAGGTTTCTGACTCTCAGCTGTAATTTTTTGTTATGGAAGATGACTTAAGAGTTGCCACTTGCTAACCAGACACACAAATCTTGGCCCCAATTGTGCAAAGACTTATGCATGTGCTTAAAATTAACCACTTTCTGAAGTCTGCAAAATCAGACTCTTGTTGATAAGCACATACACTTTAACACATAGATACATTAATAGATTTTTAAAGCCAGAAGGGACCATTATGATGATCTAGACTGATCTCCTGAATAACACAGGCCATACAATCTCACCCAGTAATTTCTGCATCAAGCCCATAAACTGTTTGAACTATAGTATCTCTTTTAAAAATATATCTAGTCTTGATTTAAAGACATGACGTGATGCAGAATCCATCACATTCCTAGGTTAGCTGTTTCAATGATTCATTATCCTCATGGTCAAAAAATTGTGCTTTATTTCTAGTCTGAATTTGTCTAGCTTCAGACTCTAGCCATTAGATCTCATTATGCCTTTTTCTCAGAAATTAGAGCAGTGTCTACTCTCAGAAATCTCTTCCCATGTAGATACTTGTAGACCATGACCAACTCAACTCTTAACCTTCTCTTGGATAAACTAAATAGACTGAGCTTGTTAAGCCTCTCAATGTGAAGTATGTTTTCCAAACCTCAAATCACTACCGTTGATCTTTCCTGAGCCCTTTCCAATTTGATAAATCTATTAATGGGATTATCTGATGGGGTTGACTGCAACAACAGGAGACTGAATTTGATGACCCAGGCGGACCCTTTTAGAAGTATGGCCACCAAAACTGGACACAGTATTCCAGTAATGATCTCACCAATGCCACTTACAGAGGTAATACCACCAATTCAAATTTTAGAAGAATATTGATTTATGAAAATTGGAAATTCATCCACAGATTACAGTATTTAAAAAAAAAAATCTCTTCTCACATGCCCAAGGTTTTAGATACCCAAGAATACTTTATAAAACAGACCTGCTGTTTTTGAGAAATAATCAGCTCGTTCTGTTCCTGAAGCCTCTGCCCTAGCTCCTCTATCCTTTTCTTATAGAAGATGTTACTTGCATTTAGGTCCTCTGTCATTGATGATTTAAGCTTCTCAATCTGTGACAGTAGCTAGAAAACAAACCGTTGAAAAGTAACTAATTGTAAATATTACATAACATTAGGGTTGTTGATTAATCAGAGTTAACTCACGTGATTAACTAAAAATAATTAATCGTGATTTAATCACGATTAATCATAGTTTTAATCGCACTGTTAAACAATAGAATACCAACTGAAATGAAATTAAATATTTTGGATGTTTTTCTACATTTTCATATATATTGTATTCTGTGTTGTAATTGAAATCAAAGTGTATAGTATTTTTGATTACAAATATTTGCACTGTAAAAATGATAAAAGAAATAGTATTTTTCAATTCACCTCATACAAGTACTGTAGTGCAATCTCCTTACTGTGAAAGTGCAACTTACAAGTGTGGAATTTTTTTTGCTACATAACTGCTCTCAAAAACAAAACAATATAAAACTTCAGAGCCTACAAGTCCATTCAGCCAATCACTAAGACAAACAAGTTTGTTTACATTTACAAGAGATAATGCTGCCCTCTTCTTATTTACAATGTCACCAGAAAGTGAGAACAGGTATTTGCATGGCACTTTTGTAGCTAGCACTGCAAAGTATTTAGGTGCCAGATATGCTATGCCATATTCCAATGCCCCTTCATGTTTTGGCCGCCATTCCAGAGGACAAGCTTCCATGTTGATGACGCTTGTTAAAAAATAATGTATTAATTAAATTTGTGACTGAACTCCTTGGGGAGAATTGTATGTCCCCTGCTGTTTTACCCGCATTCTGCCATATATTTCATGTTATAGCAGTCTCGGATGATGACCCAGCATATGTTGTTCATTTTAAAAACACTTTCACTGCAGATTTCACAAAATGCAAAGAAGATACTAATATGAGATTTCTAAAGATAACTACAGCACTCACCCAAGGTTTAAGAATCTGAAGTGCCTTTCAAAATCTGAGAGAGACAAGGTGTGGGGCATGCTTTCAGAAGTCTTAAAAGAGCAACACTCAGATGTGGAAACTACAGAACCCGAACCACCTAAAAAGAAAATTAACCTTCTGCTGGTGGCATCTGACTCAGATAATGAAAATGAAGAGGCGTCGGTCCACACTGCTTTGGATTGTTATGGAGCAGAACCCATCATCAACATGGATGCATGTCCCCTGGAATGGTGGTTGAAGCAGGAAGGGACATATGAATCTTTAGCGCATCTGGAACATAAATATTTTGCAATGCTGGCTACAACAGTGCCATGTGAATGTCTGTTCTTACTTTCAGGTGACACTGTAAACAAGAAGTGGGCAGCATTATCTCCTGCAATGTAAACAAACTTTTTTGTCTGAATGATTGTCTGAACAAGAAGTAGGACTGAGTGGACTTGCAGGCCCTAAAATTTTACACTGTTTTATTTTTGAATGCAGGTTTTTTTGTACATAATTCTACATTTGTAAGTTCAACTTTCATGATAAAGAGATTGCACTACAGTACTTGTATTAGGTGAACTGAAAAATACGGTTTCTTTTGTTTTTTTACAGTGCAAATTACTTGTAATCAAAAATAAATATAAAGTGAGCACTGTACCGCTTGTATTCTGTTCTGTAATTGAAATCAATATATTTGAAAATGTAGAAAACATCCAAAAATATTTAAATAAATGGTATTCTATTACTGTTTAACAGTGCAATTAATCACAATTAATTTTTTTAATCGCTTGACAGCCCTACATAAAATATTTTATTATATAGTTTACACAAGCAAGGTTTTGGTTCAAATCCTTCTCTTTATGGCCCTGTGTAAATGAGTTTCTCTAGGGTGCCCCCTTCTACTCTAATTTAGCCACTCCCTTCTCTGGACTTCCTCCCACTTGACTACAGCATCCTCTTTTTAAAGCTCCCCATTCCTATCACACAGAATTGGCAGGAGAGGAGGGGTGGGGCTACTTTAGAACACACAGCCTCAGTAGCCCTTTCCCTGTCAGTGCAGGGTTTGAGTGCTCTGTCACACCCTAATTCAAGAAAGTACTTAACCATGCGTGACTTCAATGGGGTTCATGCATGTGTTGTGGTGCTTTCCTGAATAGGAGATGCTTTTTCTGAATCAGGGCCTATATCATTTTTCATTTACACACAGAGTATTAAAAAACACAGAACGCAGTAAGGGATGTGCATATACATTATGGACATGGTCTGAAAGTAAGACCTACAGGGAAATGTATGTGACTAGATAAAGAAAATTATTTACAGTTACCCATGGCAGCAAATAATGCTATTTTAGAAATAATAGTTGGAAATCTGGGCAATGAACACAATGGGCTTGATTCAGGATCAGCGCTGAGTACGGGGCAGCATGCAGTGACAAACCCCATAAGGAATACACACAATTTTCCGCCTCCCCTACTCTTGTACCCAGTGAATGTGTGTAAGAAATGTACTATATCCCTTTTCAGGGTGTTGCATGACGCTTCCCTGCTGCTTGCTTGCTGGGGGAGAAGTAATAATAGCCATGCAGCCCCTGATCTTCCCATTTTTGATCTGGACAGTTCCAGATCATGGCTATGCAGCCGAATGAGACATGAAGGGAGGAGGAGGAAGGAAAGATAGAAACTTAGAGCAGGAATGAGAGGAAAAAATAACTAGAAGAAAAAAAGATAAAGACTGAGGAAGAGACCAAGAAAAAGTAAAATATGAGAATTAATGCAAAAATCAAATTCCATTACAATGTTTTTCCTGGAACAAGAAAAGCTCAAAGGATTCAGGACTAGAGAGACACAATGGGGAAAAACAGGGGAGGATGGAGGGAGGAATTTGAGATTCACGGCTGGAAAAGGTTGGAGATCCCCCCCCGTTGGCCCATCAGGATAAATGAGAGCTACACATTGCCATTTTATTTTGCACATTATATTAACTACCTAGTATGCAAACACACTATATAGTACATTCTGCACATAGCTGAAAAAAATGTTTAACTCTTCAGGGCATGGACTCAGTCTCTCTGTGTTTCCACAGGTTCTTTAACAGCAGGACCCTGATCCTGACTGCTATCTCTGGGCACTACCATAAAAGAAAGAGAGAAATAATAAATAATGTTATATACTAAAAGAATGTATTTTGAACATAAATTCTGAATATCTAGGATTTCTAATCTGCCAGCTGTTGCAAACTGTATGAGTAGCATTGAGAGAGTGTGGTGTTTGCTTCTATTTCACTGGCTTAAAAATAGGCTGTTGGTATAAGCACATTGATATGCAATCTTACCTGGCACCTTTCTTTTTCATGTTCTTGATGAAGGGCTTGTATTCTGGAAGTCCACTTACTTTCCTATAATGAAAGTAAATGTTCATTTAAAGATTTTGTTTGTATTAAAAATTGGTTAATAATGAAGCTGAATTACATTATATCAGCATAAAAGATTATTAATACTGCAGCATTTCAGTAACCCCTTCCTTATGACAAACAGTAGTTGAAGTGCCTCGTAACTGAAGTGTCTCATATGTTTGAGTGTGTTATATGTTATTAATCAAACTGGAAATTATGTATTCATAGGACATACAAGTCCTGTCTCTCTCATTTGACAAAATATAAAGTTACAATGATATATTTCATTTTGCTAATAACAAACATATGAGTAGTTTTTTTTCTAAATAACAAATTCAAACACTGGTTAATGGAGTTTATAGTGACAATGAAATAAAACACCTTAACTTGTGAAAGATGGACTATACTTCCCTTTGTGGGAAGAACTGAACAAATTCCACCATGAATTTTCTTCGACTAAAAGAAGGGGGGGGGGAGGGGGAGAACCCATCACTAAAATTTTCTAACATCTCAGAGTTTCTTATCATTTGTTCAATTTTTAAATGTATTTTTCCAAAGCAACACCAGGATCAAGAAGGCACAAATGATTCCTTCCGCCAATGAACTCCACCCAGAACATATAGGGCATAGGTGAGAATCCCAGGCCAATGTGCAGTGAATCAGAAAAGAAAAAAATTACTTTAAGAAATGAGAATTACAGAAAATTTACTCTGAATTTTACATTCTTATTTGTAGAAGTACAAACATAAAGACTAGCAGTAGTGATCACTATATTGTATATTCATCTTTACATCAGAGTACTACCTGTTTTTCAAGAAGTTGCATCATATTCTGATAATCCTGATCATTCTGAGGTCTCTCTTCTGTAAATTCATGGCTGTCTTTTAAAGTGCCTAAATTGGATTTCAGTTGAATATTGGACTTCTGTAATTCTAACAATTGCTAAGAGGAAAAATATCTGTTAAAAACCCAGCATATAGTCAAGAAATTATTATAACTGTTTAAAGAGTTGGTGTATGCATCAGACTCTCCCAACAAATGTTTCTAAGCAGTAAAAATTTATCAGTTTTACTGTGATTACAAGGATGCAGGGTAGGAACTAGTACCAACAAACTAAAAGCAGTTCTACTAAATTCACGCACATTGCTTTTCTGATGTGCCTGGACACTCACAGATTTATCCATCATCAGAACACTTGGAAATACAACTTTTGATCTTTGTGACATCACCCCATGCAGTTCTACTCTCTCAGGACCTTGGTACGCAGGCTGTTCCTCCTCTTCTATGTCACTCATAATCACCTAAACTTGGTAGGTGCCTCCAGACAGTAATGATAAAATACTAACCAATTGCAAAACAAGAACTCAGTGGTTCAGGATTAAGAAAAGAGTAACATGTAACTTGCAGGCAGGATTCCTTCATACAAATGAGTGCAATTCAGAAAAGAACTGAAAACATTTTGGAATTAAGGAGACAATACCAGAATATAACCATTAATTAATTAACTAATATTTTTTAAGTTTTATATAAGAACAGCTCTTATAATGTTAACATCATGATACTGACCTCCTTTGTAAAGGGCTTTGAGATCTGCTGATGAAAAGCATTATATAAGAGCTAGGTATCTTATTATATGTTTCAAATAACAAACCAAGATCAGTTCATTACAGACAATATTAACAGAAATTCCATATTTAAATCACTTACATTTTCTAATGCAGTATTCTTTGTAGCTAATTCTTTAAACTCCTTCATAAACATCTCTTTTACTTTCTCTATTTCATCAGCCAATTTCTCTTTTTCTTCCTCTTTCCATTTATGAAAAGATTGCAGAATTTCTTCTTCTTTTGATCTTTGATGTTCATATTCCTGAAATTATTTTAAAATGTTACTCTAAGAATTCTCTCACTCTGTTCTCACATACAAAACAATACAACATTAAAAATGGCAAAGGTAATAGCTAAGCTATATGAGCCAAATGGTAACTTCTGTAAAATACTGTGACATCAATTTTTAAGCAGAACTTCTGAGTGAAACCAATTATTTGAACCAGTATTTTTTCCCTTCTCTAAATAAACAATTGCAGCTCCTACAGGCACTTGTGTATATAAAGGAATTTTGCCTAAATATTGCATCACATTCCTCTCTTAACCTTCAACCTGTAAGCTTTTGTTTTGCATTTATCACTCATGCTGTCCTTAACTCTTGTCTGAATAAGTCAATGGGAAGTTCTGCTTAAAAACAAAGGCCCATTTCCTTCAAATATATTGAAATTAATACTAGTTAATAAATTTTAACCACAAAAGTTTAAGGCTACAAAGCCTGACCAATTTGCGTAATTTACAGACTTGAAAAAAAAAATTCATATTACCTGTCTGGTTCTTGCTTACACGCTCAGAGTCTAACTGATCACGATATGTGGGGTTGGGAAGGAATTTTCCCCCAACTCCGATTGACAGGAATCTTGGGGGGTTTTCACCTTCCCCTGCAGCATGGAGTGCGAGTTACTTGCTGGTATTATGTGGGTATATCTCACTTGGTCAATTCCCTGCCACTGCATTAGCCTCTTGCACTGGTGCACCTTGGCTCCTCCTATTCTCTGCCCGTGGCACATAATAGTTTAGTCTCCCGTGGTCTCTAATGAGTTGGTCTAATTTCAGTTGTTGGGGTTATTATATGGGTATTGGCTGATACTGGTGGCTTGTGATATACAGGAGGTCAGACTAGATAATTTGGTGGTCCCTTCTGACCTTAAAGTAAGCTAAATATAAGTCAACAAAGTAACATGGCTGCAAAAAAAAGCAAACATCATTCTGGGATGTATTAGTTGAAATATTGTAAGCAAGATACGAGAAGGAATTCTTCCACTCCACTCTGGGCTGATTAGGCCTCAACTGGAGTACTCTGTCCAGTTCTGGGCACCACATTTCAGGAAAGATGTGGACAAATTGGAGAAAGTCCAGAGAAGAGCAACAAAAACAATTAAAGATCTAGAAAACATGATCTATGAGGGAAGATTGAAAAAATTGGGTTTGTTTAGTCTGGAGAAGAGAAGACAGAGAGGACATGATAACAGTTTTCAAGTACATAAAAGGTTGTTACAAGGAGGAGGGAAAAAAATTGTTCTCCTTAACCTCTGAGGATAGGACAAGAAGCAATGGGCTTAAATTGCAGCAAGGGAGGTTTGGGTTGGACATTAGGAAAAACTTCCTAACTGTCAGGGTGGTTAAGCACAATAAATTGCCTAGGGAGGTTGTGGAATCTCCATCACTGGAGATTTTTAAGAGCAGGTTAGACAAACACCTGCCAGGGATGGTCTGTATAATACAGGGATCAGCAACCTTTGGCACGCAGCCTGTCAGGGAAATCCGCTGGTGGGCTGGGATGGTTTGTTTACCTGCAGTGTCCGCAGGTTCGGCCGATCGCAGCTACCACTGGCCGCGGTTCGCCGGTCCAGGCCAATGGGGGCTGCGGGAAGCGGTGCAGGACAAGGGATGTGCTGGCCGCCACTTCCCTGCTGGCCTGGAACGGCAAACCGTGGCCAGTGGGAGCTGCGATCGGCAGAACCTGCGGACACTGCAGGTAAACAAACCGTTCCAGCCCGCCAGCGAATTTCCCTGATGGGCTGCATGCCAAAAGTTGACAATCCCTGATATAATACTTAGTCCTGCCATGAATGCAATGGACTGGACTAGATGACCTCTTGAGGTCCCTTCCAGAATTCTATGACTCTATGGGTTCAATTGTTACTATGTTATCAAGCAAACTATAACCCAATATTAATGAATCACATTACCAGAGAAAAACATGCAATCAATCCATCAGAACCAGCAAAATAAAAGCAAAAATAATGGCATTGAGTAATCATCATTCCCTTGATGTGGAGTCCTACGAAATCCACATTTTTACAGCAAAAGCTCGCACAAGGTGCCCTCACAACTTTAAGTGAGAAAAATAATTTTAAAATAAATATACAAAAGAATTGGGCTAAACAGGGTAACTCTGGCTATCAATAAATATAGCTGTCACTCATATATACAGATTGTAAGGAAGGGGGAACTTGAAATCTCAGGCTTGATAATGGCTTATACAGACTTTCAACTTAAAGTCATTGCTTTTAACAGAGTACTAGGAGAATAGTGACCAAAAAAGCAATTGCTGTCTGGTAGCTTTTCAGTGCTTACTGTATATGAAACAAACTGGTGGGCTCAGTGTTGTTAGTGGCCAAGTGCCCTCCAACACATGCTTGTAGGGGATATCAAGGCAATGACTGCAAGGATAGTAGAAATGGCAGAAACAGCTCATAATGAGAAAGGTTTGTTCTTCTGGTACTGTACATACCCTATGTATGAAGTTCTCTGTTCTTCTATACTAACAAGGACAGTTTCAAGGCTGGTGCATTCACCTTGAGGCAGTTGTTAGATATGAATAATGTGGGGGAAGCCCTAAGAAGGACTGGAAGTCCCCTACCTCCATGATGCTGATATCCTGGAACTCCACCTCAGAAATAAGGGTCTCTTCTTTCATAATATCTGGATCGTGCTGGGCAGACCCTCTCACTCCTCTGGTGTTAGTAGGGGGGCTACTGGAATCGGATGTAGGCCCCTAGTTCAGAGTTACTTCTGCTCCCACTCAATATGGCTTGTCAGACCTCCACATGGAAGTGGGGGGCGGGGCAGCACACTCTAAGCAGAACAGCCTCACTATTAGGGCAGTACTGGAGCTGAGCAGGAAGGGGATTTCTTCCCTTTCCTCCATGGTATTTTTAGGCTTTCATATTGCTTCTTCTGCTCCACAGGAACTCTGGTGCCATCTAAGGCCCAGAAATTAAGATATCACTTCACAGAAAAGATGCCAGCTGCAGCTACCCAGCAGGGGCATGATACCTGGGCAAGTTCTTGTGAGCCTACAGATGGAATCAGGGATGGAGACAAAAATCTTCATTCTGGATTGGTTGTCACCTGGCAGAGTGACAACAGAGAGGACACACACCCGGCATACACAGCATCATGGAAACCATACTGCCACCTTATAAGGTGATAAAGCTTATTTTAGCCCATTTCTATTGCTTTTTATTAAGTAGCTTCCTTCCACCAGAAAGTTTCTAGTTTTGTTAGTATAGTTGGGTGAATTTTACTGAGGTGGGTAAAATTATTCAACAAATAAAGATATGTTTTGTTATTCTACTCACTATCCTTGTGCCTTACATATCAAATGCAACTTTGCTTTCTCGGTATTACTCTGCCTAACTGTCCTTGTTTCAAAGGTATAAACAAACAGGGAACTGAATAGCTAACATTTTTGTGGATTTTCTAATGGTTAAGCTAAAATATTTATCTATCGAAATGATTTGTTATTAAATACATATTGGGAGCATCATTAAATTAAGGTCCCACATGCTTTGTAATAGGATTGACCTAATTATACAGAAAAAAACCACAACTGTTGTGTCTGAAGTATTCTGATATGACAGACTGGAAATTTTGCTGCAGCTTCAAGTAATTTTTTTAAATGGATTACTATTAATTTAAAATCAAAACAAATCATACTATCCAATCAGTATCATTGGTGCTATTTAATTTGGTATTAAAAAACGATGTATTTTATTGCTGCCCCTTACATTTTCATTTTTTTTGTACACTGCAGAATTTTGTACCAAACATAGAAAACTACATTCTAGAAGTTCTCAGGGGAACCTGAATGCTTAAGTAAAAGACAGATGGGGCTTTTGGCACTTGGGAAGGCATAGGAGATAGTTTGGGGTTGCAAGATAAGCACATTATAGCAGGAAATAGTTATCAACAATGACATTTTAAACTACTGCCATTGGATTTCAGAGCTAAATGGGGCAGTTCATGTGTCTGCAGAGCTATTGTTTCAGGCTGTCTGCAGACTCAGGCAGATATGCCTAACACAGTTACATAGTCCCATTTAAAAATTCTCATTGCAACCATAGGGCTAGAAATTTATTTTAAAAAAATGAAAGCTTAAATTCATGAGGAAATTATGTGGTAAATTCTGCATCTGCAAATTCATCCTGTATATGAGTACTATATTTAAAAAGTAATAAATTAATAAATTTAGTACCAACAATGTCAGAAATTATGCAATTGCAAAATATAAATATATAAATTAACAACTGGAAAATGGGTGATTCAGGGAATTAGTACTGAGTATGAAGCCACTTGCTTGACTCTGCAAACAGTAGTAATGACTAAAAGTTGTTAGTCTTTGGTGGACATTTGGCAACCTCTGCTGAAGGAGTCCAATTGCAAGTGGACAACAAAGGCAAAGACATAATCAGAATTAGTAGAATTGCTAGTCGTCTAGCAACATAAATTTATTTGGCCTCTATTTTCCTTCCATGCTGTTGTCAGTTTGTGGATAAACTGTAGGCTTCAATTTTTAGAAATATTAGCACAGTCCCCTTCACGGGAAAAAAAAACAGGCAATAGTAAGGATTTAAAGGGCCTAAGAAAAAATGTAAATTTCCCCCCCTTCATTCCATTTTTTCCCACCAATAATGCCCCAAATTCCTCCTGTTTTCCCTCAGACCTCATACCAGGCCTCTGATACAAGGGCTTATGTGTCTCAGGTTCTCTTCCTACTACAATAGGGACAGAGGGCAAGTGAGGCCAGCAGCAGGCTCCAAAGGACTCCCCTTTTTGTTGTAAGGTTATTTAGTTCTGTAAGAAAATGGTGGTTCGTCTGGTAGGATAGGAAAGTTATCCCACTGAAGAGAGGGATATCTGGGGTGACAATGGAGGTCAGTCACAGTGGCAGGATGTACTCAGCCAGCCCCCTCCACACCCCTGTCTCTATACTTTCCCCCTGGGTCCTCCCATGACAGCTTGAATATTGTCAGGGGAAAGAGCTAGAGAGGGGCTTCATGCCAGTGTAAGCATGAATTTCAGAACTTCTCAGGCAGCTCCCTAGCTAAGACTCCTGTAGCTTCAAAGGATGTGTTTTGGGTGCATCAAGATGTCTATGATGGACTACTGGGATTGCTGTGTGTTCTGTGCCATAAGGAAGACAATGCTTTAGCTCCATGAGCCATCTGTTCAAGCACTTGAACTATCAAATACGGACAGACTGGCTAGCATATCTAGCAAATGCCCATGTTAGTTCAGGTCCACTATGCTGACATGAGAAATTTTCTTCAGCAACCTAGGATCAAAGATTCACATTGATGGGAATCAGAACCATGTTCCAATGCAAACTTTTCATAATGCTTTATTTATTTATTTAAAGATAAGAGGCTTTGAGTTACTTTACTACAGCTCCTCACAGTCATGCTGATGACTGCAAGACTGAGACATTGCCTCTCACTTCCAAGAGTATCTGACCCTACAGACCCAGTCTAGTACAGATAAGTTGTGTGGAGGTGATTCACATCAAAAGCTGGGCAGCAACTTCTATAGGGAAAAGTGCTTCACATCAAAGCTGCTTTAAGCTGAATATTTTAAAACTTCACTCTAATAATGTGAGGGTAAGATAAAGACCAAATTTAGTCTGATTTTTAAAGCTACATTTAAAAAGCCTCATTTACAATTTAATGTTACCTCTATTTGGTTCTCCTTGACATTTTTACTCATTGCAAGTAAACGAACCATTCTCTTTCCCCTTCTGATCACAATCTTGCTGTTTCCTATAAAGGAATCTGACTAAGGCCATGTCTACGCTTGAGAGCTTACAGCAGCACAGCTGTACCGATACAGCTGAGCTGCTGTAAGATCGCTCGTGTAGCGGCTCTCTGATGATGGGAGAGAGCTCTCCCACCGACATAGCGCTGTTCACTCCAGCTTTTCTGTTGGAGTAACTTATGTTGCTCTGGGGTGTTTTTTCACACCCCTGAGCAACATAAGCTATACCGACAAAAGTGGTAGTGTAGACATGCCAAAGGGTATGTCTACTCAGCAGCTGAGAGGTTTAATTCCTGTTGGGATATGTATGGGTTAAGTAGAAACCTGGGAATCTGCTAATGTGCTGACATGGCATTAGAGGACAAAGGCATAAGAAGGCTGTAGTTCCTTGTTCAATAAATAAGTTGCCATATTTTGCCCTTCCCTGTTGCTTGTAAGAATTGATAAATGTTGCAGCTGCATAAGAAATGTGAGGATCTAAAGGATACCTTTTGGGTAAAGCAGTGTTATCTCCTCCTTCCTTCCTTTCCCAGCTACATAAACAAGCCCTGGCTTATGGCCCCTTCCTACCTCCCCTGAGAATTGCTGACCAGGGAGATTTGTGGCACCAAATTGTTGCAAAGAAATATATTTTCAAGGTAAAATGCCTGTGTAATATGCTTAATGCTGTGCACAGATAGGGTGAGTTTACTAACAAAATGGGTGTTTTTATTATTTAATAAGGGTTTTTGGGGTGTTGTAATGGATGTAGGTGTGTACATATTAATAAACAAAAAGAATGTGCTGTAACTAATTCAGTGTTTACTGGACAAATGGGTCCAGGGGAACAAGTATCGCAATAAAGAAGCCTGTACTCATATCCGCTTCTGGGTCAACCTGCTCTTTCTTCTAACAATTCCCAACTCAGTTAGATGTACATGTTAGCTCTGCTCGAGCTAGCACCTAAAAATAGCAGGGTGGTAGGAGTGCAACCGGCAGCAGCTTGGGATAGCAGCCTGAACACAATCCTGCATGAAACCCAGGGTACATATTCGGCAGCTAGCCCGAGCTGCTGCAGCCACAATGCTATCTTTAGGCACTAGCTCAATTAGTTGTTGTACAAGCTGAGAATTACACCTCCCAGCTGTTGTGTAGATATACATACCTATTGCTACCGTACAGTAAAGGGGAAGGGATTCCTTGGAGTTAGAGAAAGAAGATTTGAAATAACCTACAACTATACATAGACCCCCAACTTGCATAAGGAGTTGGGGAGCAAAACACCCAGGGCATCAGAGACTTGCAGCTGGTATGACAAATAGGGAATGTAAACCAGTGTAAAGAAATCCACCTACACTGCATAAACTTCCAAGCACCTGTTCCACGGGTTCCTTTATGCTACTGCAGAGAGGAGAGGACAGGTAACTCACAGGTATATAACCATTTGCAGGGACAGAAGGCTCAGACATTGGGAACAATGCAGGAGACAACCAGTTAGCTGTGTCTTTCCACAGCTACTCACTCCCCAAGCCAGCTCTGGGTCTCTTGGAAACAGCTGGCAGCTGTTCTTTTTGACTCCATGAGAGACTCTCCCCTTGATTCTTCTATTTGCATTAAACATTTTTCAGCATCAAGGGCTGCTCTCCCCTTGTTGCCTTTGCATAGCCTCTTGTAGGAAACAACAATGGTTTCTACTGTGAGGTCAGCAGTAGAAGTAAAGGGAACTTTATAACCATGCTATGCAGAAGAAAGTTACCAAAATATTAGGAAAAATGGGACAATTTACAATGCAATTTTAAAATTCAATTACATTTATAACATTTAGATCAAGATTGGTTTTTAACTAAATCTGTCTTATTTAAAAACCAGCTCCACACTGCCCCTTATTCATAGAATGCACTCTTTGAAGTTATCTGTTAGGCCTATATCCTCTCCTCCTTAAAATCCATCCTAAAAACTCATCTCTCTTGTGATATTGACAGGATAGCTGATTTTATTTATTTGAAAAGAAACAAAAATTGCAAGATGATTTGGAATCAGAAATGATCAAGTTGTGCAGTAGCTTAACTATGTAACCACATTATCTTTTTATTTCTTTGTTACACCTATCCTCTCTTCCCCACTTATAGATGCTATTGCAATCCAAATTAATAACAGTAATAAAATAAAGCCTTTGCATGTAACTACCCACTAAACCAATATTACTGCTTTTACATTTTTTCACTTTTGCTTCATCTCTTGTCAACCCTCCACAATGGCTGAGGCTACCTACTGCTTCAAGGTTACTGAAAGCCCTTGGCTACTTACCTAGGGTTCAAAGGCTAACACACAAGTTGAAGTGATATTCCTTGCATTTTCTCACCATTACCTTCTTCTCGCTCTCCCTTCCTTAAACTGTTATCTCATGTCTTGTCTATGTTAGATTGAAGTTCTCATGGCAAGGAATATCTTACTGTTTACAAACCATCATTTATCCTTACAGAGCAGTATCTAGCAAGTGCCAAATCACCATAGTGTCTAGGCACTATAGAATATTATTTATTATTTAAAATATCATAATATTCTGCATTCTATCTGCTCCAATATGAGCTTTATGTCATTCTGATGACTGGCAGGTGCTAATAGTAGCAGTGCCTTTCATATTGGTTCCAAAATACATACAAGAAGGGATAGTGGAAGATAACAAATAGGGCTTTTAAAATTGCAGGAGGGGCTGTACCTGATGTGGCACGGAAGCAATGCTGCTAAACAGAAAAATCTTATTTAAGTTTTCATTCAGTTCTATTCACCTCATTTGCGAGCTACATGGTCAGTGGACACAGTCCAGAATACGGATTCTTGTAGGATGTGGTTAACACTTAATATATACTACCTTAGAAAATCTGGCCACGTGAGCTTGTTGTTCAGCTTCTAGGAGGGACTTGGTGAGCTGTAACTGCTCCTTCAATTTATCAATCTCATCCTGTAATTTATCTGTCTGTGCTTTCTTCTTTTGTTCTGCTTGAAAGAAATATACATTTGCAAAATGTTAATTATATTTTTGGGAAATGTGATTTTTCCCACAGATGTCTTTCTTCAATGCTTCTCCAACCTTTTCATTCTGTGAACCACTACTCTCACAGATCATCTTTTCTCCCAATATCACAATTCCTCGAAGACTGCTTCTCAAAATAATACATTCTCTGGACTACAGGCCAAGCTCCACAGGCCATAGATTGACAGCCATTGTCTTATTGAAAATATAGCATGTGAAATAAGCTTATGAAATATTTAATATTAAAAATGAACTAATCTGACATAGATAATATAATCTAATTTCAACATGTTTTATAGGAATATAAAGTGCAGAAGGTCAAAGAAGGAATGAAAGGCATGACTCCCAAATATATAATTCTGCAATATTCATTAGAGGATGTTAATTAGTTAAAGTCACTTTCTTTATCAGTCCATATAGAGATACAACTTTGGATTTGTTTAGAATTAGATAGGTGAAAGTTCTGTTCCCAGAATTTCATTTTAAGGGTCACTGTCAAAAAATTGTTTAAAATGTACTCTCAAAAATGTATCCACTTTATCAATCTATCTAGGTTTTTATAAGCTTGCCCATCACTGCGGTATCTGAGTACATAGCAGAACAATGGGAATAACTGTGGCTGTATCTACACAGCAATTAAAAACCCTTGGCTGGGCTGTGCCAGCTGACTCTGGCTAAGGAGCTCAGTCTAAGGGGATGTTTAATTGCAGTGTAGATGTTCAGGCTTGGGCTGGAGACAGGACTCTAGGACCCTATGAGGTCGGAGGGTCCTAGAGCCCAGACTCCAGCCTGAGCCTGAACATCTATAGTACAATTAAACAGCCCCTTAGCCCGAGCCCCACAAGCCCAAGTCAGCTGGCATGGGCTAGCCGTGCAGTGTAGACATACCCTAAGTGTTCAAAGAGTTGGAGCACTCCCCTCACACAGTAATTCTTCTTGCTAATACAGAATGAATCCAGCTCAATTGACTCTGCCATTCCTCCCATTACCCTCTCTTTCCAAGCACATAACAGCTGCTTTCCTCTACCAATTTACCAACATCTTCTTTCAGTTCCTTCAGTGCTACTGCTATTTTATTGGCCTCTCAGGCTACTGTTCAAACCCTGTCTCCATCCTCTCTCTCTTCCACTAGCCCATTTTTCTTGCTCCCAGCTGCTCTTCCTTCCTGACCACCTCTATCCAGCTGCTCCTGCTCCATTGCCAACCTGTCTCTCTGGTTCACCATCCCCCACTTTCTTCCCCTAACACCTTTCCCATTGCTAAAGAACACCATCTCCCAGCAACAATGAATCGCACACGCAGTGAGAAAAATATATTGGGGTAAAACAAGCAAAAATATGAAGAATGGCTTTCACACGATAAATATTTTTCAGTTGACACAAAGCAGAAGAGGCAGAGAAGAAAATCCCTAAATTCATCATTCATACTGACAATAAAAATGTAGCATTACTCTGTACATGCAAATGCCTCTGAAGCAACCTGGAAAAAAGTGCCTTTACCATACACCAATAACCATGTATACTATATTGCTAACTTGTGCATATTTAATGTTGTGAGTCACAAGGCCAAAGGCCACGTGCCTTGAACAATTTGAAGTGCAGGTATCCTGATATAATTCCTCTTCCTAATCTGAAGTACTGTTTCTAAGAACATCATTTTACAATAATCTGCCAAATAGGGTAGTGTAACAATGATGATTATACTGGGTTGCTGAATTTGGCACCCTGGTTGAATAATCGTAACTTTCCCTATAACTATCACATTGTACTATCACTATAAATTTATTGTGGGCCTGATCCAATTCTTACTAACTTCACTGGAGGTGGAGTGGATCCTATAATGATAACAATGCTTTTTTATAAAATTTCCTTTTCCATGGTACATCCTGTTCACTGGCAATGATACTCACATTTTCACAGCTTTCATATACTCAAAGGAAGCCATTGCTCTGAATTCTGCCACTGGCAAAGGTATTCAGCAGGAACTCAGTTTGAAAAATGATTCTAAACATGGCAGCATGCTATTCCACGTTTATAATCTTTCAGTGAAATGACTGCCATATCACATTTGGTCAGTTTACATGATCTGTGTAACTGTCAAATGTACAAACTCACTCTGGGGCTTATAAGTCAAATGGCTTCTTTCTGGGTCACACAAAAACTTACATTGCATATCCTGAATATATTTTACATATTTCTATATCTCCTTAACTTTCCTGATAGTGTGAAAGTACTCACCAGTGTGAGATTCTTCTTTATGGCGCCGTTGCATATGACTTTGTAGAAAGGAGTAGTTCATAAAAGCCTTATCACAAAACTGACACTACAAAATATAGATAGATATTTGTTTTAGGTAACAACATTAAGTGCTGGTCTTTTTAATTATGACAGTTAACATTTTTTGAATTAGCTTACTACATTTCTCTGTACAGTAGCCCATTCTTGTGCATGGCAACACTGTGATACTGATTTGAATTCCAACATTATTCAATTTAAATTACATAGCATGCTGGTGGTAACAGGTGAAATATTCAAGTTTGAGTAGTAATGTTAGGAATTATATCCCCTGTAAGATGAAGCCACTAGAAAGTGATAAGATCACAGACACTTGAGAATGTCTGGCATTCTATTCAAGAGAAGGTAATGGTTGACAATATTGTGAGAAAACCTAATTAATGCTATAATTAAAGTGGAAAACAAGTTTAAATTATTACCCCATTATCACTCACTCTTAACTGTAAAATAAAATCTCCATTTGGACTGAAATGCTCTATGTTTGGTTTTAAAAAACATGAAATATGAGGAATATCCATGCCACTATTTTGGATTTCAAAAAAACGAAAAGAAAAATACATGTACTTTTCCCATTGTGAAATTGTATTGCCATACTCTCTCTCCTTCCTCCAACATATATAACTCAACAATAGCCGAACAGAAAAATTTGGCATTAAACAGTGCACACTTTGAACTATATCCATGTTGGGAGGGGGGGAGGTAGAATCATAGTGGAGTCTAGTTTTAAATGTGCCAAGCAAAGCGGATTCCATCCCTACTTTTGATAAATTATATATGAATACCTAATTTTATTATGCTAAAATTCTTCTCTTCTGCATATTGTTATCGGGACACACCCCACCCCTTAATCTAGGGTTGCCAACTTTATAATATTTAAAAAACGGACACTCCAGCAAGAGTGCCAGAACATTCCCCACTCTTCCCCCTTCCCCCGCCCCAGACCCTACCTCTGGCCCCACCTCTTCACTCCCCCGAGACCCCACACCCCATTCACTTCTCTTCTCCTTTCCCCCGTCACTCACTGCTTTTCCCCCCTCTTCTCCTCTCCCCAGGTAGGGAGGGACTCACCTGCGGAGCCAGGCTGGGAGTTGCAGTCGCCCAACGCAGGTAGGAGGTGGCCCCGACTGAGTAGGGGCTGGCGTGGGTAATGACCCAGCCTTCCTGCCTCCCCCGCCTGTAGTAACCGGAATTTCCAGTTGAAAATCGGACACCTGGCAACCCTACCTTAATCACCAGGCAGTCAAGGCATATTTCTATTATGGCTCTGATCCTGCATCAGGTTCCACTAATGAGGAGTCCCACTGACTTTAGCAGATTCTAATGCAGGATCAGGGCCCTAGCCTTTTCTCCTAAATCAATCTCCCCAACCCTCAAAGGTCTTCTGTAGCTCATCTGCACTCCTCTGCATTAATGAAATTCCCAGAAATTAAAGGCACATCCAGGTGTGATGGTGCCAGAGCTATGTAAAGATTTATTAGCGCCCATCCCAGGATGCAACGTTTGCAACCCAAAATTGCACTCACTTTTTGTTTCCTTCCCATATTATACTGAAAACTCTGATGAAATTTGCAGAAACCTACTATCCTTAGATTTTTTTAGCATTACTGCTTTTCAGGACACTTAGAAAGGGAATGAGATAACAAAAAGTAGAGTTGTGGGGGAATCATGCTGGAGAGGATAATAGGGAGGAGGAGCTGGAGCAAGAAAGGGTGACAATTGCAGATAAATAAAAGCACTGTTTAGTAGGATCCAAATTAATAACAAAATACAGCAGAAACTCACTGATTCATACAGCACAAACCTGCAAGAATCTGCCTCCCACCCAACCTTTCAGGAAAAATATAAAAGCAGAGGCTGTAGTAAGGTGCCGAGTTACATACTTTGTTTTTTTATACAAAATGTACTTCAGAACATTTACACATTCTTTATGATTTGTCCTGCCTCTAATGGTGTGTATTTAACACACTAATTTACACTCATCTTTTATAAATGTAGAGATGTATTTTATCAAATTTTGATCCTACTGGTATATTTTTAAAGCTTTTTAATTCATCCTTAAAGTACATTTTGCCCATTTTCAGAGTGATAAACAGAAGACCTACTATAAAACATGAACAAAATATACAGCTGTTGAAACTGATTGACTAGGTTGTGAATCAAAACCCCTCATTTCTTTCATAAGGTATGATGGCTAACTATCCTTGGCTATTGTATATGTTTCAAAACATACAAATCTGCTTGAGGGAGCCACAACTGCACAATTAAGTCAGTCGGTCACACTGATGTGATATGAATGTAAAAGACAATTTCAAACTTGCTCAGCAGATTTAAAATCTGTTCATTATAGTCAAATTCCCAGGTCTCATCTAGAATTTCAAATTCTACTACTGATGGCTAGTATGATATTAAATATAAATGTCTTGCAACCACCACTAAAACCATTAATAATTAAGTTACATTTTGTTGGATACATGCAAGGAAGTACTGACATAAAACCTAGATAGAGAAGGTATACTATGGCAGCAAAGCAAAAGAACCATCGGGGATTTTACACTGTAACAGATTGCGCATTAATAATGGTATTAAATTGGCTGTGAAATATTGTTATCCATTCAAGCACTAAACTCATGTAGTAGAAGCAAGCTCTTATTCAACAACTAGCAGATGGAATGTTTATACTATGTGCCTATTACTGGTGACAATATTCCTCGAACTATTTTTCATAGTATTAAATACAAAAAAGCTTTTATGGAACATTAAGATCTTGTGCAAATCATCAAAATATGAGAAATTCAAATATAGTAGAAAGCTGACATTCCATCATTAAGAAAGATATTATTTGAGTTTTTGAGCCTTAAAATTATCACACCTTAATAGCAATTCCATTTGACAGTTCTTATTTTTACAGTTTTAACTTGTTCTGGATGTGGATTAAAGACATTAAACTTAAAATTCAAAACTCAATTACTGTGCATCACATCGAAAATAAAGTGCACATACATTAAGAAAGGCAAGTAACTGTTTACAGTCTTGCTCATAAAGGGGCCAAAGCTTTTATGGGCATAGAACCTGAATTACACTGAGCAAGACTAGCAAAAACCCCATTGTCTGGCACTCCAGGACAGCCAAATGCTTGATACGGACAAATGATATGTAATTGTTGCCTAATAGTCAATCTGCACTTACAAATACTAGAAATAGATAACTTGGAGTCCTCCATTCAGACCCGAAGTGCTCACTCCATTTTACAGATATTACTCAATATCAGTTTCTGAACTCATCCCTCACTAGATCTGTCTAATTCTTAGAGATAATGATTTATTCCAAGAAATAAAAGGGGGAGAAAGAGCTTTTTTATTTTATATGACCTTAAATGGATAATGAGATAAATGCCGCTGAACAGAAGAAGGAAGATGAACTATACTCCAAGGCCAGTATTTTGCTCGATTCTTCAGGCTCCACTCAGCCAGATATGGCCTAAATGCATTCTGAAGAGAATGCACGCACATATTTGTGCTCTCAAATACAATAAAGGGATTACTTGACATTCAGTTGAGTTTACAATTAAACTGATGCAGGGGCTCACACAGTTTTCATTTTCAACCCAGGTCAGATACTCTGGTCAAACAAGACATCTAGACCTTTTGAAATGCAAATCACATCAGTAGCTTCTCCTTAAGGCCCTGATCCTGCAACTGAATCCACAAGGACCCTGCATTCGCACTGTGTCCTAATGAATTCTGCCCACATGGATACCATTACAAGACTGGGGCCTAAGTGAGGGAAATATACAACAAATAGCATAATTTGCTTTTAAAAAATACAGAATTTTGGACAAAATATACATATCTTCCTACTGGACCACTGAACTTAAGATGGAAATTTTTCCTTAATCAAGACATTTTAAGAAACAAAACTTTTTCCTAGCCCACTGACATGCTGATGTTCCCTCCAGTCGGGGTTGAAACACGTTGATGGCATAGCATGGGAAAGCTTGCATTGCTCCTACCTATGCTGTACCTATTATTTGGATAAACAGGACATTGACCTTCAGGAGTGTCAGGTTAGAACATCTTTCATGAGAGTTAAATGAACTTTAAATACACACACGCAAACACACAAAGTTGGCCCGAGGCCATGTTTGCCAAGGTTCAGCCCGGTATAGTCTTTAAATTTCAGAACACCTTTTAAGGCAGTTATAAATTCCCAAAATACTTGTTGAAAAAAGAATGGGAAAGTTGATAGCCCCTTAAACTGTTAATCTTTCTAAGACTTAATGTGCCCTATTCTCTGTTGCCTGCCTTCCACCTTGCCTAATCATTCGCTTCAGATTCACTTTAGGTATGTCACACAGGATGGTGAAATGAATACAAGCCTGGAAAAAGCTCATCAGTGAATAGGATTAGCTGGAAATCAAACGCCTCCTCTCTAAAGAGATATGAGATACTGGCCCCAAAGTGCTGGGAATGAAACTGCAGCCTCTGGGGTATTTTGATGGGGAAAGGATCTCATGAGGGGTAGGGGAGCATATCCCCAAGGTAAGAAAGTGTTTCCTGCCCGCCCACCCTGCGGTTGCACCATGGAGGGGTTGAGCGCTAGCAGCGGCTATAAGTGTGTCTCACCTGGTGATAGCTGGCTCTAGCCTCCAGCATCATCTGCTGGGTGCTGATCATCTTCTTCCGCCGCCTGCACTCCTCCTTCAGCAGCTTCATCTCCTGGGCGCGCCGGGCCGCCTCCTTGCCCGCCTCCTCCAGCTGGGCGTCGGCCGCCCGCAGCGCCTGCTCGCGGGCCTGCAGCTGGGCGCCCAGGTGCTCCTGGCAGTGCAGCAGGTACTCGATGGAGAGCTGCGCCAGGCGCACCAGCTTGAGCAGCAGCGGGTCGGCGGGGCCCCGGCAATGCGGGCAGAGCAGCCGCTCGGCGCTGCAGAAAGTGACGTGGCCGAGGTGCTCCTGCAGGGCCGCCACGTCCAGCTCGCCCGCCACCCGCTCCACGTCCACGGCGCTCAGGCGGCGCCAGTCCGGGCTCCCGTGCCGCGGCCGGAACTGGAAGGCGGGCAGGGTCCCCGGCGCGGCGGCGCTGCCCATCCCGGCCGGGCTGCAGCGGGAGAGGGAGGCACCGCTGGGCGCAGGGCTGCGAGTCCCGCCACCAGGCGGCCGGCCCCGGCCTCAGGCTCTGGCCGTGAGCCCGGCCGCGGAGCCCGGAGCCCCCTCCTCGGCGTCTGCCGCGTTGCTATGGCAGCTGCGGGGAGAGAGCGAGAGTGAGAGGCCTGGTACCTCCCCTGCCTCCTCCCTATATTACCCCCCCACACACACTTCCTCATCCCCCATCCCGAACACTTTCCCTCCCCCACGGCCTCACCCCCCCCCTCCACATACACTTCACTTCCTCATCCCCCATCCCAAACACCTGATCACCCCCCACACCCTTATCAACACTGCCTCACCCCCCAATCCACACACACTGCACCGCCTCACTCCCCTCATCCCCAAACACCTCACCACCTCACTCTTCCATCCCTAACCACCTCACCCCCATCCTCACCATCCCATCCCCAAACACCTTGTCCCACCCACACCCCACATTATCCTTCCTAACCCCCTAACACCTTGCCCCCCTGCATACACAATCCCTCCCATATACACCTCAGCTTCTCATCCTTCCAGTCACTTCCAAACACATCCCATATCACCCCCTCCGCAGGCATCCCTACACAACTCATATTGTATACACACCCCACTCTACCCCCTCCTCATCCCCACAGGCACACCTATATCCTATACACATTCCACATAGCATTCACCCCACAAACACATCCTACATTTCTTCCCCTCCAGCCACTTCCCATGAACATCACACAACACCTTCTGGTACACCTCACCCACTAGTCATATGTTTCACATCTCCCATTTCCAATATACACCCCTGTATAATTCATCCCCATATAGCACATATACAACCCACATCACTATGCAGAAGGACAGAGAGAGAGCATGTGAGCACACAGGAGACTAGGGCCTTGTTTTTATTCAAAGTTGCACAGGTTTAATTAAAGGTGTAATTTTTTTAAAACCAATTTGGGTAAACCAGATAGTTTATGTAAGCGCTTCATTTGTTAAATCAATATTAAACCAAGTTTAGGAATGTTCACACAGGGTTTTGGTTTAAATAAGGCCTGGTCTATGCTACAAAGTTAGATTGAGGTAAGTTGCCTCGCGTCAACCTATTCCTGCATGTATCTACACTCAAACTTGTATCCAGCCAATGTAAGCACCATGTTACAGCGATGCAGTAAAACCACCTCCCTAAACGGCATAGAGCAGGAGTGGGCAAACTTTTTGGCCCTAGGGCCACATCTGGGAATAGAAATTGTATGGCGGGCCATGAATGCTCACAAAATTGGGATTGCGGTGCGGGAGGGGGTGAGGGCTCTGGTTGGGGGTGCGGGCTCCAGGGTGGGGCTGGGGTTGAGGGGTTTGGGGTACAGGAGTGTGCTCCGGGCTGGGATCGAGGGGAGCACAATAGTCTAGTACTGTGCTGCAGACCTGCCACTTCTACAAGGAACTGCATGCCATACTGGGTGGAGATCCCAATAGCACCCAGCAGACCACTGTGGATACCTTGGAGGAGCCTGAGACAGAAACCTCTGCAATGAACACCAAGGAGGAGACGGAGGGAAGATGCAGTGGGTGACTCCAGCCATGCCACGAGCCGGGACGTGTTTGAGACTGTGCCACAATCTAACCAGTCCCACCAGGTAAGTGCAGATGAGCCTAATCAAGGGGAAGGGAATTGTGTATGCATTTTGCCTTAGAATGTTTAAATTTAAAGATGACGCTCAGTCCCTCCCCAAGTTAACAAGACAAAGATATTGACTCTTCATTGTTTTATTTGTACAAGAAGAGGTAGAAATACAAAAAACAGGCAGAGTTGCATCTGATTATCATTCCCCCTGTTGGTTAGGCCAGGGAGGGAGGGAGGGATGTAGAACACTTCATGTGCATACGGATGTCCCTTTTATCCATCAGAGAGACCTTGATGAAACTTTCATGGAGATACTCCACAATCCTCTCCTGAAGATTTCTACAGATGGCTGCCTTATTTCTTCTTCCACAATAGGGCACTTTCTTATGCCACTCCGTGATGAGTTTGGCTAGCACCAATGCTAATGGCCTGTGCGGGTTCAGAACGTCAGCAACTGTGCTCTCTGTGCCTTTGTTATGCTCAGGAGTGAGATATCAGCTAAGATCACCAACGCCAGTGAAAAATAGTGCCAATATTCAGTGCCATTGCCCTATACTCATACCCATGGAATAGGGACTGAAATGTTATAGCTTAATGGAACAGAAAATCCTTCCCACCTCACCCTTGGTGGGCCATATTCATCGTGGCTGGGGCTGGAGAGCAGTGCTGTGAAGAGGTGCTCTAAACCTGAAGCGTTAATAAGCATTTCTTATTAGAAGTGTTTATGGGAGTAACAGAAAGGAGTTTTGAAACTTATCCTTTCCTTGTGATTGTAAATCCTGGAGTACATCTGTCTGTTTTTATCAACAGCTTCTGGCATGGTGGCCTTAAGGGGAGCCCTCTCCCATTTGCACGATGCCTGACCCTGATAAGTAGGACAAAGATGAAGGAGGACATGTTCTGCAAGATCCTGCAAGCCAGTGCTGCTTCAGACTGTGAACGAAGGGCTTGGAAGGCCAATATGACTGACAGCATGGAAAAAGACAGAGAAGACAGACCCAGAAATCCCACCAGGACATAATGAGTCTTCTCAGGCTGCAAACCCAAATGCTGCAGACTGTGATGGACCCGCAGGTTTAAAAATCTTGGACTCTCCACCTTATTCAGTTCTTGAAGAACTCCATGGTCGCTGCCCCCTATGCTCCAACATACCATGTGGCATTATAAGGCACATTGTTACCCTTGCTACTCCAAGCCGGGGACAGCAAGGAAAACCACATCTTCACATACACAGACCTGTGAGAACCACGGTTCATGTATGTGTAGCCACAACTGTCTACATTTGTGCACTGAAGTGGACATACATGTTTACTTCCTTTATAATATTAAATTTTCAGTCCAATAAGTTATGTTAAAAATGTGTATAGCATCACCTGTGGGGGGGTTTCCACACTGGTTTTCTGTGCTGTTTTTTTTCCCCCCATTCAATAAAGTTCTATTTTTGGAGAATCAAATCATCTTTATTGCATCACAACAAATATTGTAGAATGCATAGCGATACTCAAAGCAAACTACTTGTAAATGCACACCAAACACCACATAATTCATAGCTTCAGGAAAACACCCAGTCATATTTATAAATGTACAGTAAGCATTACACAATTCTTAGCAATATCCAAAGCTCCAGGCACAGAGAACAGTCCACCAGAGAACGCTACTGTGGCTGACCATTAAAGTGCTCTTTCAAAGCCTCCCTCAACTGTGTAGCTCCATGTTGAGCTCTTGTAATAGTTCTTGTGTTTGGCTGTTCAGAGTCAGCAGACAGTCGCTCCACCTTCACCCTATATTTGGCATCAGCTTTTTCCCTTTGCCTCACAGATATGCAGGACAAAACAGGCAGCTATAACCATTGGGATATTTTTCTCACTGAGAATCAATCTAGTGACTAAGGCAAGCACTGCCAGTGTTTCTTCAATCTGCCAATAGCACATTCAACAGTCATTCTGCATCTGTTAGCTGCACCTTGCCTTGGTGCTGTTGAGGTGGCCAATGTATAGCTTCGTGAGCCAGGGGAGCAAAGTGTAGGCTGGGTCCTCTAGAATCAGTATGGACATTTCAGTATAGCCAATGGTAATTCTTTGGTCAGGAAAGCCAGCGGGTTTCTGAACAGTCCCATGTTCTTAAAGAAATGCGCGTCATGCACCTTCCCTGACTAGCCAATTTTCATATATCAGTGAAGCATCCTCAGAGATCTGCCAACAGTTGTATAACCATGGAAAAGTAACCCTTTCTGCTGATGTACTCTGTGACAAGGTGGGTTTGTGTCAAAATAGGGATATGTATGCCATCTATCATCCCATCAGTTCAGGAACCCCACTGTTGCATATACATCCACTATTTCCTGCACATTGTCGAACATCACTGTCCTATGTAGCAGGATACAATTAATGGACCTACACCCTTGCACAACATCAGTCCTCATTGTGGATTTTCCAAATCCAAAATTATTTCCCACTGACCAGCTGCAAGCTGCCAGAGTGCAATCATCACGTGCTTCTCCACTGGCAATGCAACTCTCATTCTGGTGTCCATGTGCTGGAGGGTTGCTGCAAGCTTGGCACACTGATCCAGGAATGTGGCCTTCTGCATCCAAAAGTTCTGCAGCCATTGCTCATTGTCCCACCTGCATTACGATGCAATACCAGCAGTCAGCTTTGGTTCTCAGGTCCACAAGCAGTGTTCCATGAATGTCACCAACAACCTTGAATTTT